TCAATCACATAAGCAGAATTGCAAGCACAACACCTATAAATTATTTTTGTAGACTTATCAGGGAAGAATAACTCTCGCAAGACCCAAAATAATATGCAGTATGGCAGCTGTGCAATTCCCCAATTTTGGGGATGTTTTTCTCATCACTAGAATGCGATGCAGCTTTCCCATTTCGGCATTGGTTGATATTAAATGAACCACGGTGAAAGCGAGTATGTTCCGACGTCGAAGATAATTAGGCAACATTAATGCATGTTTACCTACTTTTCGATGTCAAGAGTCTGGTTGCCGTCTACGAAATTGGTGCAAAGTTTGCAACTGCAATCAGACTCATGCAATTTTCCATGTGTGAAGAGCAGTTGCCTGCTGCAAAATTACTGTAAACGCTTCTGTGACCCTGGAGCTGACTGGGTTTCCCATCGTCCTGGAAAGGTCAGTGAATACTTTTCAAATGTCATAGTTCTCAAGCAATCAAAGAGACGGACTGTGTACTTTATGTTTATCCCAACCCTAAAAAGACAGTTTCGAATTTTTTTTATCTAAATAAGGAGCTCTTCAGCATTCGTTCGTGTAGGTAATTTTCGAGTGCAATAGTTGCAAACCCATTTAAGCTTTGTCTTTATTGTCTGTGGTGCAAATCCCGCCGAGGTAGCTGAGTTTTTCAAAACTGGGTCAAGTAAATTAAAAGTTATCTTCGAAGAAGTTGGAAGGTAAACGTGTCTATATGGATTCTTTTCTCAGGTGCAATTTGAAAAAAAACAGAAGAATTTACCGTTTAGACATATTCATGGGAGACAGATTAACAAATTTCTCGCAACAAACGACAAAGCGGCCCTTTCATTTTTATTGAAACCACTTGCTTTCTGTTTATTAATTTTTCGATTGCGTCGGCCATTGTAAATGCACGGCACAGGGGCAATATAAATACGAATATATCCCTTAAATAATTATTTATCTATTAATTTTGTACATAAATAACGCATCAGCAAAAACAAGACGGTAGAAATAGTGTCTTTTCCTAGATTCAAAATTTAAAGTAGCCGCTTACTGATGTGCCATTTTGCAGTTCGTGATATATTTTTATATGCCTTGACAATAGGATTATCCTAACGTAAAGTGTTGTCTTTAGGCGTTAGGACTGCATTTGGAACCACAAAATTTTACATAGTCACAAGCCGTACTTTTAGAAAAATGGGAAGCCCTACTTTTGCAAAAACTAACGCGTTTATTCACATTTTTCCTGCATTAGTTACACTGTCTAAAAAATCAGTTTCTAAGTTGACGCCATTTTTCGGCAAAGTATCCTCCTTTATATTAATGCTATCTACTATCGAATCAGATAGAGGTGCGCAGATAAAGCTTAAGACAGTCATTAACATACGAAGTCACCAAAATAAGTGGTGATTAAAGTCTAGATTCCTTTGTAGATGACATAATATAAAAATATATTTTGCATGTTACGACTTTCCTTGGGAGCGCGTTAAGTTAGTAATGACATACATAATGTTCCTGATGTCTCTAACTGATTATCTCGATCTCAATCATTACATTGCAAGTACTACGAGAATACTACGACACATACGGAATTCCATGAACAGCGACAAATTCTTTGTGGATAAGAACGCTTATTATATACATTTCGAACTTTTCCCGAGTTCGTCTTTGAAGGCATGGGCGATGTCTACAGACAGTCATCAATTTAACGGAGGCCCAATGTCTGCGTCAATCTGTGTCTATTGCGCCCCGTCGAAGTTGGCTGCCCATTGCCGAATGCCTCACCTGAGTGCATTCCCTTCAGGATTTGGCGCCTTGTTTACCTTAGTATATTCACTCTCCAGTAGACCACAGGAAGTTCCACCTGTCAGACTCTATGAGATCGAAAACACTAGGCCTCTAATTTACGCGATGGTCAGTTATCATTGATGTGAAATTGGCTGCACCACGCTCGTAACCTACATGTTGACTAAAAGCCAAAGCATATGATTAGTCGGTGTTTCTGCTGCTACTGCATTGAGCAGCGGGGTTTCAGATCAGCAGTATTTGCACCTGATTTCTCTAAGTGCTTTATGGTATACATGAACTGAAGGCGTGCCAATAAAACAGGTGTCAGTGTTGTTACCACACTACACATAGTGGTCCAGGGACTGTGACCTGCACGGCATCTACCTCACTCTCTGTTCCACCCCCGCCCCCCCCCGCTCCTTGCCTGCTGTCAAGACAGAGTCCTGAAGCCTGGGGATAGGGGATGGCACAGGTGGCTAGTGCAGCATGAGCCTGCACCCACCACCATCCCCTCCACCTGTT